CTTGATCAGAAAATTTGGGGCACAACTGAGTTACATGATGTTACAGTACGGGTTCTCCTATGTGCTCAGTCTTTACTGACCTTGAGAGGTTAGGGCCAAAATGTTGGCTGACCTTGAAGCCTTTCCTTTTCTCTAATTTTTTTTATCTGCAAACTTAGGTTGTTAACCCTCCAGAAGAGAAGCTTATTATTATCCTGCAACATACACAATTCGGTTTACCCTGTCTGAACATCAAACATCTTAGGCATAACATGGAATAGGTATTTTCCATCAAGTACTGATGTGTTGAAATTTAAGTCCTTACAGAATATGAAGAAAAAATTAATTTAAAAAATAGAAATAAGCACTTATTTTTACACACAAATTTAGAAATATAACCATATACAGCATTGTAGCAGGACAGTCCTGTGACATTTTTTTGTGTGTTTTTTTAAAAATTTATTACCTATTTAAAAAAAAAAAGAAAAATCTTTTACTTGTGAGACAGTATGGTATTAATTGGTATGTCATGACAAGATGTATTTAGAAGACCAGAATGACAGACATTCCAAGCGTGACCCTTCTATTACACACTGCTATCTTCAGTGCAGTTGCTTGGTTCACAGGTATTAGCATATATAATTAGTCAGAGTGAGAATACTACCAATTAACTGCTAGTTTCAAAAACCTGCTGATGTTTCTCAGGATCACTGCCTTGTCCATCTTGTGTGTACAAATGTATGGCTTTGTCCCTGCCGAATGTGTCTTTAGATAGCCTTGTCCTGGTGGTATTTTTCAATAGCCACTAACCTTGCCTGGTACAGTATGGGGGTCGTAAATTGGCATGGAAATTTAAAGCAGGTTCTTGTTGGTGCACAGCCCAAATTAATTATATATGGGGACGGTAGGTTTTCATCTTCAGCTGTCTCTGATGCAGCTTATACGAAATAATTGTTGTTCTGTTAACTGAATCCCACACTGTAATTGCAAAAAAAAAAAAAAAAAGGCTGCAACTGTTTTGTTGACATTCTGAATGCTTCTAAGTAAATACAATTTTTTTATTAGTATTGTTGTCCTTTTCATAGGTCTGAAACTTCTTGAAAGGAAGTCTTTTGTTTGTGCCCATTTTGAATCACATGAATTATCACATGTTTATCTTTTCATATAGTTAGTGGATCTGAAGCTTCTGTCTACACACCCTGCATACCGTGATGGGGTAATAAAAGTCAAATTGCAAACATTTTCATCCATAAAGCTCTAAAATCTCACTTATTGATAAAAAAATTTCACATACCCCTTTGTAAAGAGTAATTAGTTCTGTTCATAGATAGCATGAGGTTATTAGAATCAAGCAATCTGAAAGTCTGTCCTTGAAGGACTGATAGAGAATATATCCCCAAAAGTGTGAGCTTAAAATGCAGGACTCCAATTTTTGGTTAGCATTCACAGTGAAGGCAGCAAAAGTGCTGGCTGTGTATGCCTTTACCCATTTATCTATGGACTGCTCAGGAAACTTGACTCGTTAAAGTTTTATTAAAGTTAGGCCACAAATTAGAAAAGGATAGATTTTCTATATTGGGGTCTCCCATTTAGACAGAAAAAAAAACATGAGTTTCACATCTTAAGTATGAATTACCCAATTTATTTGAGTTTTCCTCTACAAAACTATTAGAGTTATGTTTGTCTGCTTAGCAGTTTAAGGAAAAATTTGGGTATTTTGTGGGCTTTGAGATTATCACTCTTAAAATGCCAGTGTTTTTTTTTATTATTA